CTACAGTACGAATAATTGTCTACGAATTTAATTAGACTAGTAACCATAACGTCTGAAAATGCTTATTTAAGATGTGAGCCATCTTCATGGCTCGGAGTGGTCTTTCACCTCCATCTCAACGATCTTTGGAGAAGCATTATATTCGAGGTATGACTTTAGATACTTTATCCACAAATAAGCTCAGCTGGAAATGTATCTTCCGTTAACCGTGATTTATCTGTCACTGGATCGAAACTTTCAGTTTGAAATGCACATCTGATTAACATGGACCGCTATGGAGCTATCTGCTTTGTTCCACTTCGCTGTCGTGACGTCACTACAGAACGCTCTGGGTTGTGCCACTTCATTAGTGACGTCACTACAAAGCGATCTGGCTTGTTCTACTTCGTTGTCGTGACATCTCTGTTTCCAGGAGTGGTGCAGGATCCGGGCACCCCCGCTTGGTTCATGGCGGCGTCACACTTCACGTCTCCCTCCGCCAGGAACCTGAGTCATGTGGCTCTTATATCCGAGGAAACAACAAAATACATCGTAAAAGCGTAAGTTGCAGTTGCCTTTAATGTAAAGCCAGCAGAGTCTGCAGCTAATAAATATTATGAAACTTAATTATACATTTCTGTTTACTGTTTTAAATTAAGTTGTAGCACATGTGAAGTTGGGGCCCGAAAATAGAGAAGTATGAGACGGGCGGAGAATGTAGCACGCGGGGAATACATGATAGAGCACGGATCATTTTGGACAGAAACCTGAAGGGAGAGACCTTTCAAAATATCTCGAAAGAGATAACAGAAAACTCACAGAATGGTTATTTAGTTAAGAAAAATACGTTAATGAAACTTTGCGTAATAAAGGACGGGGAATTTCTTAAATAGGTACGATGCTACGAACTTCTCAGGTAGGAATTTACTCTTTTGAGTTATTTTGTCTTGAAAGACAGAAATAAGTACTTGAGGGATGATTTGTCAGAGAATTGCGAAGTCCGCGAAAAATTATGTCCGGCTATAGTTATTATGTTTGGAAGCTTTCATTACCATGTTTACAAGAGCGACTACTGGTTCCTGTAGCGAACCAGATAAATCTTATTTAAGATACATTTTCTTCTCTGTATGCCTAAGATTCTTCTCTGCTGGCTTCTGACTACACTTTATCATTAATTTCTCATGTGTTTTATGCGTACTATGTGCCCTGTCTATGTAATACTCAGTAATTTGATCATCTTAATAAAATTTGATGAAGAGGAAAAATAACGAAGTTCTTTGTTATGTAAAATCGAAAGGATTCGGGAGAAGCGGTCGATGTCTCTTTTAAGATATCACTGCATTCGCTTTGGAAGTCTGAAAAGAAACTCAACAGTTACCAGGATGCATTGTATCAGTCCGAAAATCAAATTAGGTGTCTCCACTTCAAAGTCCCAAATACACGCAGCTAATTAAGTACGAAAATGTCCGCCAGGTTCAAACTTTCCCGTGATCAGGTGAGCTACGGTCTGCCGATGATGGACGTGAGGGACACGTCGCTGGGAGACCACTGCCCTCTGGAGGTGGATTTTCCCTGCCAACCGCGCAAATACCGCGCGTTTTCTGGTTACTGTAACAACGTGCAGAGTCCGCACTGGGGCAAGGCCAATACGCGTTACCTGAGGTTCTTACCCGCCGATTATAGCGACGGTGTGAGCTTGCCGCGAGGTAGCGGCGGCTCAGATCCGCTGCCCAGTCCGCGCGAGGTCTCGCTCGCTGTGCATAGGGACGAGGACCTGCCACACCCACACCTCATGGCCATAACAGCTGTCTGGGGCGAATTCATCTCTCACGACGTGGCGCACACCCCGCAGATGACAGGTACTACGTTCAACTTGTTGTGTCTCATTCATTTCACCATCTTTTCTTCCATATTCTGTCTTCTTCGTTTTATAAACTCCGTGACTCTTTATTTGCAGGCGCTTCCGCAACCTTGAGGAGCGCCTATCCCAGAAGAACGAGATATTTATTCTAGTACAGAGGTTTTCTACGTCCATATTAACACAAAGAATAGCAGGAATTGACTGGAAGCCTTCAAACAAACATGCTCTTCCCCACTTTAACGCACCCTGCGCCTCTGTGCCGCGGAAGTGTCCCGCATTACCTATTATTATATGTGTTTGATTCTTTTTTATTCTTCATTTACTGAACGAGAGTAGATCTAACTAGTGAACTTACTCTTAAGACCTGGACAATATTATTTTCCAACATTTCTCGTCAGACACCCAAGGCTGGGACAACATCGTCTCGGCTTATATCTTAGGTTATCACTGTACCATGCTATGACATGCAATTCAAAGTATGTAATGGGTGTTTCAGGATTTAAAGGCAAGCGTCTCAAATGCTGCAGTGTTAACTTCAGTGACTTCCACCCAGAGTGTTTCCCGATTCGTCTCCCGGATGATGATCCCGTGCACGGGATTTTTTTAGAGATGTCAGGAATACGCGCGGTCTGGAACAGCCCCTCGGATAGGCTGTACTCTAGGTGAGAACAAGCTGCAGTGTGTGTCAGGGTAGAAGTCAAAAGAGCGAACTGATTTTCTGCAAGCGTTGCGCAAAGACGATGCGCTCCACTTCGCGATGTAGTCACATGTGTCTTGCTTCATGTTCTGAAGGATCGAGGTTTGTAATGTCCGTCCGGAAGCAGGCTGTACTGACTGAGATTTTCATGGATTTTCTCAGTCTCTCCAAGCGAGTCCTGTTTTACCGTTTCCTCATCCTACCCTATTATATGCACCTGTCGCCAGTAATTTGGTGCTGAGATAGAGGTGGTACATGAACAAATAATACCACTGGACAACTACTATTAATCCAGAAAAGTCTGTTAAACAAAAGTAAAATTGTAAGTCATCACTGAATACGTGGAGCTACACCTCCACTTCCACAAATGTTTTTAGTGTATTGCTTAAGTAAGTGCAGACAATTCTGCTTTCAAAGCACTCGTCTTATGAGCAGCAAACATTTTAAAACTTCCTGTTATACCCGGACACAATGCTGGAAATGAATTTCCAAACATCCTTTTGCAACTTTCGTCACATCATTTCGTTTCTGAAATTTTTATACACACCCCATAACGCCGTGCTGTACCGGCAACTTCTCCGACACGGCCGTTGTGCGTGTTGTCTAAACAAGGCCTTCCTTTATGATTTTCTGTAGCAAAGAGGAGGTTTTATGTTAGACTTTCAGCGGGCACTACATTACTGTTCTAATTAAACGTTACTTTTTACAGGACCCAGAGAGCAACTAAACCAAGTGACATCATTTCTCGACGCGTCAGTGGTGTACGGTAGTTCTAGAGACGAATCAAATTTGCTAAGAACGTTCAGTGGAGGTGAAATGAAGACGCAGACTGGGCATGGCGGAAAACAACTGCTTCCTGCCGATGACAGCAGTGTTGACTGCCGATCCAGTGGCACCAAGAGGTGAGACGCAGGCCATTGCCAAGCTGCCCTCATGGCGTGCATTCTCGTATTTTATATGGCCATTTCCTGCTTCATCAGTATCATTGTCATTCATTTACATTACATACAGAGAGATGTCAGGAATACGCGCGGTCTGGAACAGCCCCTCGGATAGGCTGTACTCTAGGTGAGAACAAGCTGCAGTGTGTGTCAGGGTAGAAGTCAAAAGAGCGAACTGATTTTCTGCAAGCGTTGCGCAAAGACGATGCGCTCCACTTCGCGATGTAGTCACATGTGTCTTGCTTCATGTTCTGAAGGATCGAGGTTTGTAATGTCCGTCCGGAAGCAGGCTGTACTGACTGAGATTTTCATGGATTTTCTCAGTCTCTCCAAGCGAGTCCTGTTTTACCGTTTCCTCATCCTACCCTATTATATGCACCTGTCGCCAGTAATTTGGTGCTGAGATAGAGGTGGTACATGAACAAATAATACCACTGGACAACTACTATTAATCCAGAAAAGTCTGTTAAACAAAAGTAAAATTGTAAGTCATCACTGAATACGTGGAGCTACACCTCCACTTCCACAAATGTTTTTAGTGTATTGCTTAAGTAAGTGCAGACAATTCTGCTTTCAAAGCACTCGTCTTATGAGCAGCAAACATTTTAAAACTTCCTGTTATACCCGGACACAATGCTGGAAATGAATTTCCAAACATCCTTTTGCAACTTTCGTCACATCATTTCGTTTCTGAAATTTTTATACACACCCCATAACGCCGTGCTGTACCGGCAACTTCTCCGACACGGCCGTTGTGCGTGTTGTCTAAACAAGGCCTTCCTTTATGATTTTCTGTAGCAAAGAGGAGGTTTTATGTTAGACTTTCAGCGGGCACTACATTACTGTTCTAATTAAACGTTACTTTTTACAGGACCCAGAGAGCAACTAAACCAAGTGACATCATTTCTCGACGCGTCAGTGGTGTACGGTAGTTCTAGAGACGAATCAAATTTGCTAAGAACGTTCAGTGGAGGTGAAATGAAGACGCAGACTGGGCATGGCGGAAAACAACTGCTTCCTGCCGATGACAGCAGTGTTGACTGCCGATCCAGTGGCACCAAGAGGTGAGACGCAGGCCATTGCCAAGCTGCCCTCATGGCGTGCATTCTCGTATTTTATATGGCCATTTCCTGCTTCATCAGTATCATTGTCATTCATTTACATTACATACACGTGAATTAAATGATCAAAGAATTTTATAACGTATTATCACTCTAGACCAGTCAGTAGGCTGTCGTCACTAGGTTACGGTCAAGACAACGGAATTTCATTTTAGATAATGCAGGGATTTTTTCTTTGTCACCTTTTCCAGACCGGCTGTGGGACCCAACCAGGCTTCTATAAAATGGGTACCAATAGCTCGTTGTCTGATAATAAATCGGCCAAAGAAGGAAGGTGGCTACTGACCTCCGTCTTGTACCGAAGTTAAAAAATAAATGGATCTATAACTCAACTTCAAATACATTTTATAATTAAGCACAGGGATACTGCGTCATTACCTGGTGCTAAATTAAATTCAGGAATACGTTATTTTTGCTTTCATTTTTAGAGAGTGTGATCTTATGACCAACATTTGCATTCCAACTTCATGTCATACCCCCACTGCATAAAATAATTTTTCGAACATCCTTTCGGTACTATCGTAACATCACTATGAATGTTCACAATTGATTTTTAATGAACCTCCTCTCATAAGATTTGTATGTTTGATACCAAAGTTTTATGAATTTGCGCTACTTATCTCAGAACGCCGCGCTATAGCGGCAACTTCTCTGACATTGGCGTTATGCGTGTTGTCTGAACACTGCTGTGTTCTTATGAAGACAGATCTTCAAATTGGCATTACTGAATATTTTAATGGTCACTTGGAAGCAATGTCTGGAACCGATACTAAAATCTGATTTAGTTTTCTTCAGATAGTTTTAATTCAACCCATACAAGTTACTCTGTTGATTTTGCTTGTGTCCTATTTTAGTGGAGTGGAGGGGAAAACTTCAATGCATTCTTAATTACGACACTTATCCCCAGTACCCATTAGACGGGCAGTACCTGTCGATTTACCACAGAACCTCGGCTCTTGAAAATTCATGTGTGTGCTCATTGCCAGGTGCTTCAAGGCGGGAGACGTACGTGTGAACGAGCATGTCGGGTTGGCCACACTTCATACTCTGTGGCTGCGGGAACACAATCGGCTGGCCGAAGCACTGCAGCGCCTCAACCCCCACTGGGGAGACGAGACGCTATTCCAGGAAGCACGGCGCATTGTGGCAGCAGAGTTGCAGCATGTCACGTACACGGAGTTCCTGCCGCTCGTACTGGGACAGGTAAGTTTCGGGGGAGTGATTCTCGAGTTGAATGTTTATGGACAGAGAATTTATAAAATGGTTAAATTTGTGAAGAATGTCAGTTTGGAATGACGATTTAACCAACGGATTCTTTACGATGGGTGTAAAATTCAAAGAAAACAAAATTAGTGTTGCTGGTGATTAGCCATCGGCTGTAACATGAATGTTAACTTCAAGAAGACTTTGATATATGAATTGCAGAACACAATGGACCAGTATGGGCTGCAGCCTCAAGCCTCCGGCCACTTCACCGGATACGACATCAACGTGAACCCTGGTATCGCCAATAGCGTGGCAGCAGCTGCGCTGTGGTTCGTCGCCTCTCTCATACCGAAGAGCCTCACCGTATTCGATAATGTGAGCCCTAACCTAGTAATTTCTCTGTAGAATTTTTACCTGCGGGAAAGTGGCCCTGGATTTTAACGGCGACACTGGACATTTCGAACCACTACAGTAGGGACATTTTTTTAGGAAAACAGCAGTGTGTGTGTGTGTGTGTGTGTGTGTGTGTGTGTGTATGTATGTATGTATGTATGTGTGTATCACTATGCCCCACCCCCAGGTCGAGTTATGTAGTGGTTATAAAGATGTTGCCTCCTTCCATTCTTTAATATTCAAGTAAACACGCAGGTCTGAAATCGATAATCGACTATCGACCTCAGGCGTAAATAGTCAAGCATGGGAATCAAATTGATAATCGACTATCGACCTTAGGCGTAACTCTAGTTAATCCTGGGAATTAAATAGATAATCGACTATTGACCTCAGGCGTAACTAGTCAAGCATGGGTATGAAATTGATAATCGACTATCGACCTTAGGCGTAACTATAGTTAATCCTGGGAATGAAATCGATAATCGACTATAGTCCTCAGGCGTAACTGCAGTTAGCATCGGAATATAATGTCGTTATAGGTAGGTCGCAGTACGACCGACAAGTCCATGATGTCCTCATTCTACGCTCCGTTTCAACTCTATGAGCCAGGCGGTCTGGACAAAGTGCTACAGAAATTGTTGCACGCACCAGCCCAGAGGGAAGACGAATTTATAAATGAAGTCATGACAAACCACATGTTTCAGGACTCTAAAGAAGGTACGAACATTTAATATTCACTACATTTCGGGTGATTGGTTACCATTATAGCGACTTGTTTTTAATTTCTGACGTGAATTGAATTTTTAATAGAACCCCGGGCGTTTTGAATACTAGGCCAATATGCTAACATCTAGACCCATAAATGGAGGTTGTTCAAGCTCTACTTGGCTGCTTACCTTGCAGCACAGGGAACCATATGTAACTAACGTCTAGGTTTGGTCGAAAATTACCCGATAAAGTTCTTCGTGAGGAACTTCTATAATTTCCCTTCATAAGTTTTACTTTAATTCTTCTTCTGTGTGGGTATTTGTTCTCTGGACCTTATTCTCCGAATTACCCCATAAATAAAAGTCGCGTGTAGTAAAATCAGGTGAACATGTTGGTCATAAACTACGACTTATTTGGTCACCAAACACCCCTTACGTTGTATTTGTGTCTGCATGACAATTATAGTGGTGTGTTTCCAGGCAGTGGACTTGATATCGCGGCCCAAGTGATACAGCACGGCAGGGACCACGGGTTGCCCGGATATACACGTTGGAGGCAGTTCTGCGGTCTACCTTCTGTTACCAGCTTCCAGGACCTTAACGGCGTCATGTCGCTTCAAGTCGTGTCTTCACTTCGTAAAATATATAGGTGTGACGAAGGAATTTGGCAGTTTCATTAGTAATAGTGTGTTGTCAGGGAATATAAGCTGTAGAAAGAAGTACCATTTGCCTTCTCCCCTCCCCGTAAGGCCACAAGTACCGTGAAAACAAGAATGAACGCCTTCAAGTGCAAGTGAAATCACAGCACAGACGCTGAGAGCAATGTCTGCCCACGACAATCTGTGTTGTCCAATGGTGGCAGAGGTCCGTGACAAGGTTTGATTCATTGTATGATTATTTTGTGCCCTAACAAATATTTTATATAAACGATGTTTCGGGAGTTGCTTATATTCGAATGCTCACGTGACTTATACTGATACTTATTTTAGATTTTAAAGTATACTCTGCAGGGTACAAAACAGCTCTAAATTTGTTTTTCACGTCACATCCTATGGATGTGTTATAAAATTGTTCACATGGCCACTGATAGATAGCGGCACTGAAGATGACGTCATCAATAGCGGGCAAGCATGCGTAAGTTTTGCCCATATAAAGCGATTTATCAAATCTTCTGATACGAAAGTCGACTGATTTACGCTGCGCGGCAGAAGTGCTCATTTCGAACGTCTGTTATTATAGGAATGTGAGTGACATTGACCTTTTTACTGGGGCTCTCGGAGAGACGCCGACGGAAGGCTCGGTCGTCGGGCCCACATTTGGCTGTCTTCTGGGACGACAATTCCATTACCTGCGACGTGGCGACCGTTACTGGTACGAGAACGACATTCCCCCTTCGTCGTTTTCCAAAGGTAAACAGTGGCCCTTGGTTTAAACCCTCCGTGTATGTTTTGGATAATATTCGCCCTTAAGCACCACATTAAAAGTTATATCACGAATTTTGGTAGTAGAATCAATGGCATCCATTGTTTACTCCGGGTTTGCCCCATAGCCGATCTTCACGTCGATGGCCAATCTACGTTCAGTAACCACGTCTGGGAGAATGTAAACGATATTGCGACAAAATATGTTTTTTGAAAGAGAAAGCTTATCGACTAAGAGATCGATATTCATATTAGCAAATTTGAAGTTTGGATCCAAAATATAGAATGTATGTTCTGACCTGAATAAGTTACCTATATTCTTACATTCCTAATTTTCAGAACAGTTAAATGAAATTCGTAAGACCAGTCTAGCAAGGATTATCTGTGACAACGCTGATGGCATCCGCGAAGTGCAACCATTAGTGTTCCTCGACAAGGATCCATTCTTGTGAGTACGTCTACCCGACGTTGTTTCTATCATAACTTGTTTAATTATAACATTACAGACGATTTAGTATTAGAACTTTCTTTGGCCCATAGGAAGACTGAACTCAAATTTTATTATATCTGGAATTGAGTATTAGAATAATTCGCAATAGACTATTCAACGTTAAATCAAGTAATATAATAATTTTACAACATTATAACTGTACAAATAAGCCGTTTAAGTAACAGTTTTAATTTTGGTTATTTCTCTTAATTCATTTATTTTTCTGACCTCTATATGTACAGGTGTCCCAAAAAAGATGTATATACACATTAAATGTATAAATAGAAACATTTTAATAAAGTAAACCATTACATACGTCATAATTGGCAGTTAATTAACGAATGTAGTATTCAAAATGTCTACCGTTAGCTTCGTGGCACAGATGACAGCACTGAGCAACCGAATGATAAAGTTAATATTCCATGTGTGAACATCTTTTTCACGTGCCTAATTGATAGGATGTGTGTTAATGCTGAATATTACGTCAAGTCACTGTTCAAGAGTTTGTTTAATTGAATTTAATAAATCCACCAAAACAAGTCAGTAAATCCATTTTCCGCGCCCACTGACTGGTACGCTGGTTTGACTGTTCGCAGAAACGCCATGACAGCGTGTTCAGGTAGAGTGATCAGGCGCTTTGATATGACGCCCTGGAGTACTAGCAACCCGCATTTCATAGTATCAGGAAGTTTGCTCGCAGACTCCGTGGCTCGGGCAAAACGAGATGTTCACAGAATACTACAACAGGAAATGGAACTCTGGGAGCAACGTACGTTTGTCTTATGAACCTTTTCGATAAAGGTAATGCTAGACGGATTTTATTTGAGCAGCTGGCCGAGCAATACCCTGCTGACACCAAAGCTCATCATTGAACACTACCCTGGGCCAGTTTAAATCACCCCAGATCTTAGTATATTATCTCCCGAAGATGCATCTTAATGTTATCCTCCGATCTTCTTGGTTTTCCAAGTAAATATTTTCCAGGAGATTTTCCTAGTGAAATTCTGTAGCCTACGTATTCCTTGCCTTTTTCGTCCTTGTCATATGTCCAGTTGATCATAGCGCTCTGGTTTCATTATCCTCGCAGCGATGTATAAATCTAAAGTTTTTGTCATGTATCCAAAATTGGTAATTTGAGCCTCAAGCGTTTTGAATATTCTTCACAGCACTTTTTATAAATACGTCCAATGTTTATTATTCGCTTAACCAAGCACATCACATATTTTAACATTTATTCATTCATTCTGCATTTTGCCGATAGAGTGTATTTGTGGGTTTCACAACATTATCAGAATAACCAGAGATTATTTTCTATAATAACATTAACCAATTTAATTTTGTAATAGAGATATGTTGGGTTTACTTCGAGGTAAGGACTTAATTTTAAATACTAGCAATGCCCGTTTAAATCTAATACCAATGCTTGTTGCAATAGCCGGAAACGTTTTAGAGACATACGATAGCGGAGTATTTGTGTGTAACGCAGGTCGAACCGCCGATCCACTTTCTCCTGTCGGAACAGCGTTCAGTTTTAACCGTCCGAAGAGACAAGCAGCTGAAATCGCCAACACTTCGCTCATACTTCAATTCGCTTCCGCTAGATTCGTGAACAGCTTCTTGCAGGGGTAAGTATAGTTAATAGTCTCTTTAAATCTAGTTTTGTGCCCCCCTTCGTTGTACTTGAGACTCGCAGTTCCTTATTAGAACATTTACCCCATTTTCCACTACCGTCAGCTGAGTCAGGACCCCGGGATTGTGTGGCACAGACGTCAATTGCTACGTGAACGTTTTATTCTCTGATGGTGTGTTCAGACAGCTCCAGGACCAGGAGTCAGGACGCAGCGTCGTGGCTCCCCGGGACTTGCGCGAACTGATGGCAGTCTTGCCAAACGTGGATCTCACAGACACTCTGGAGATCCCCCGGGTGTTCCGCTGTGACGAGCAGACTCTACCCTGCGACCATACCAGTCGCTACCGAAGCACCACTGGCTGGTGCAACAATCTGCGTCACCCAGAGTGGGGCAAGTCCCTAAGAGCGTTCGTAAGACTCCTACCACCAGCTTACAATGACGGTAAAGTTTTACGCAACTGTTATAGAATTCAAAGTAGAAGACGAAAAAGTGAAAAATGCGGTCTACACCTAAAATTATCAAATGGGATTTGAGCGCGCTTTGACGTCGTGCTGACGCGTGTGTTGATGGCCATGGAGGTAATTTCGAGCATTTGTTGTAATATGCGCAATAAAAAATCCTCCCTGAGTCAAACATTTCACATTTATATTATGTTGTAGCATTGCAACTTTTCACATTTGAATCTATCCTATTATTTGTGCCAGATTATTTATAAACACTTTCTATTAAAAAACTTTAATTTCGTCGTAAGTCATGTTTATTTTAAATTTTTACCCAGGCTAAAGGTCTCATTCAGCAAATACGCCTTGCTTCTACATAAGATTTCCAAAAAGCAAAAGTGCAGAATAATTTGTTTAAATAAGTGTCTTTCTACATTTATGCACCATTAGTCTGCATAATTATTTATTGCAGATAAAATTTATTCACGTAACTAACCAGCAGTAGAAAGACATAAATTCTGTTTATGACGTAACTAATAAACATCACAGAAATTTTACCCTAATGACTGACGAATTGCATTTTCTATTATTATGTAAATATACATTGATATAGCATAAATTAATCCCTTACGTAAGTAATAATTATAACAGGACTAAAATTGCCTCACAATCTGCCATAATTTTATATTTCATACAAATAAAGCAATAATTGTGGCATGAATTACGTCGCAGGTGTTGGTAGCCCGAGAGCCTTGTCTGTGAACGGAAATCCTCTGCCCAGCCCGCGCCTGATCTCTGTGAATGTTCACCCAGATACCAGTCGCCCCCACGTGCGCTACTCCCTCATGTTTATGCAGTACGCACAGCTCCTGGACCATGACCTCACACACACTCCGGTTAACAAAGGTTTGTCATCCAGCAAGATAACAATGCAGTGCCAAGTTTGTATTTCGCAAATTCCATAACAAATAGGCACGTCATATTTGGGCTAACAATCTCCGTAACTTATGTGCGATTTTTTATAACTCATTTGGAAAACATGGTACCTAAGACTTTTGTAATTTTAAAACAGCCATAGAACCCAAAAACTAAGACAGGAAAGATATAAACAAGACTGCAAAGATGCCGTTGGTTAAGTACACAGAAGTTCCAGAAATGTTCTTTATTCCACAATCTGTGGTTGCGAAATCAAATACAGGTAGCCCTCGATTTACGCCGGGGATGTGTTCCTCGACGAACCGGCGTAATCGGAATCGGCGTAAATTGAAACTCTTTTATAATGTAAATCAATGGAAAGTCAATGACATGCGATCCCAGCACCCAAACATTGACGAGTAATATAATGGCATTACATCTAAAGCTCTAAAACAACGTAAATAAAATAAAAGGAATTTAAAAAATAAATTTTATACACTTACAATCGGCAATTCGTTGGTCCCTGCGATTCTCTCATGTGATTGATGTGTACATTCATCTCTGCTGTTATGCGATAGTTGCATTCATGTAAGACGCTGACCTATAGAAAATCGCGTAGTAAAAATAACCCCGGTACCTCCGCAGAGATTAAATTAGTCCTTTGAAAGTTTAAAGCGCCAGGAATGAAATTCCATAAGAGCAAACTCGCATATGCAAAAGTTTGCATTTCACAAATAGCTTTTATCGATTAATCGATCTCATTGGAGTTAACGCGTTAATGAAATATACGAAATTGTAGATATGAATGTATTTATAATTTTTATTCAAAATCAGCGATGTAAGAATTACGAAGCAATAGGAAGCAGTACGAGAAATATTGTAAAACGTTATAAATAATAGTATTTTTTCCCACCTTTTGACTTGCTGGTTTCAAAATCGGCGTTATTCTGATTCGGCGCAAATCGAGGGCTACTTGTAGTCTATATTGTCATTAATAGATGGCAGCTTATCTCATCTCTTCCAAATATACTTGATTTTATCACGCTAATATAACTGGTAACTGAAAAGACCACGAAGTAAATAAATAGAATGTTACATGTTAAAAACTTCTTAATTTATACAACTTGTTGAGAAAAGGTTTGCTCAGAGTATTTACCATGTGAAACAATAAATACGTAAAGAATTTTAGCTGCGAAACAGAAAGTATACACTTGAAGACAAACCAATGTTACTTTTGACGTTTGTGTATCATTACCAGAGAGCTGAGTTTTGTCTCGCACTCAGGGTTTGTCGGCGAGTCTATCCTGGATTGCCAGCCATGTGACGCGATGACCACGGTGCATCCCGAGTGTTTCCCGATTCCCGTACCACAAGACGATCCGTACTTCCCCAAGGTAAACATCACCACAGGCAAGCCAATGTGCATTCCTGTGACGCGATCCATGCCAGGACAGCTGACTCTAGGTAAGTTGCTGCACGGCGTGACATTGGCAGTAAAGGTAAGCTTAATTAATGATTGGATTGTTTGGTAATCATTATTGGGAAAGGATTAGCTGTGAAGAGCTTTGTGACCGTAGGTTACAGGGAGCAGCTGAACCAGGTTACGGCGTACATTGACAGCTCTTTCGTGTATGGATCCGATGTTTGTGAAACGAATGTCTTGCGCTCCTTCACTGGAGGAAAGCTTAACGTCACCAAGAACGCCGTGAAGGGGAAGCCGTTGTTACCACAGATTACTACTCACCCGGAATGTAAGTCCAGCTCCAAGGTGTGCTTCCGGGCAGGTGAGTACTGAGACAAAACAATAAAACCATGTTTATAAAACAGTCTGCCCAACATTAAGAATTTATAGGTTATTATTCCGGTCGCAGAATATCTGCGAGCCTGGGCCACGTCCGAATGTAGCCCGATCTATTTGCAATCTACCATTTATCGTATTATTTTGGGTTGGATTCTGTTTAACCGTACGCTTGTTTCTCGCTGTCGAGCTGATGGCGTTCTTTGTCTGCAGGCGACGCTCGGGCCAGTGAACAACCTGGTTTGGCGGCGGTTCACACGTTGTTTCTGCGAGAACACAACAGGCTTGCCGAAGGTTTGTCAGCGCTAAATCCGCACTGGGCAGACGAGAAGTTGTACCAGACAGCTCGCCGTATCCTGTCAGCGGTCTCTCAGCACTTGACTTACCGTGAATTCCTGCCTCGTCTCTTCGGTTGGGATGGGGTCCATCGGCACGGCCTCACTCTGCAGATCGAGGGCTACTTCCAGGGTAAGGGCATCAAACCGGATAATGATGTGTACACCAGATCACTTTGGGTTTTATTCAGTGTTGATCTGGAAGAGAGAATTTAAAAAGTATGGTCTTATTATTTTATGAAAATTATTGTGCATTTTCTCTAACTTTATTTCATCTCTCTTTGACCCAAATAATCTTCCGTAGCCCGATGTCCTCAATCCTTATTATTTCTTTAGAATCACTGGCCATGCAAAGAAACAGGAAAACCTGTAGTTATGAAAACATTTCATTTTGTGTCAGACAGCAACGACAAAAAATTATCAACTGGGCAGTAGCAAGCATTCCCGGAATTTAATATGCTGTTAATTCATCATTAATTTAATTCAGATTTGTTTTTGTCACTCACAGTAAATTACATTTCGTCACGTTTTCGAAGGATTTACTAGCGATCAGTTAAGGTTATTGCTTTTTGAAATTGTGGTGACAACACAAACATTCTTGTCGTATATTGAATTTCCTTACCTCCTTCAAAACCGAGTGCCACAATCACCTTTCTATAAGGTGGTAGTTGATTCGTTTCTGGAATAGAGATGTAAGTTATGTAGCAGTACACTGCATTTATAGGTTATGATCCGGGCTGTGACGCTACCATCGTGAACGAGTTTGCGGTAGCTGCGTTTCGTTTCGGCCACAGTCTGCTGCGTCCCACGCTTCTTCGTATGGACGAGGATTACGGAGAACGCAAGCCAGGGGTACGGCTCAGAGACACATTCTTTAACCCCGACGTCCTTTACCAGGCTGGAATGGTGGACGACCTCATTCGAGGTCTCGCTGCGACTCCGATGGAGACCCTGGACCAGTTCATCACCAGCGAAGTGACAAATCACTTGTTTGAGGACAGGCGGCTACCATACTCAGGCATGGACCTTGCAGCAATAAATATGCAAAGAGGTTAGTGAGAGGAAAACTTCACTTGTATGTTATATTTACCTGCAAATCACAAAAATGGAATTTTCATAACAGAATGCCAGTGATCCGCATCATGAGTCAGGTGAATCCAATACAGACTGAAATCCATTTTGATATTTTCCTCCTTTAATGGTTGTTCTTGTGTTGTAATGGTTATAGAGCAGTAGTGTCAGTCTAATATGGGTGAGGCACTGAAACAGCATCATTAAATATACATATGCTTACAGCTCGAGACCATGGCATCCCTGGCTACAATGAATACAGGGCCTGGTGCAATCTGACACGGGCAAGAGATTTTGATGACCTGAAGCGGGAGATTCCATTTCCCCTAGTAGAGCGTCTGCGTCGGCTCTATGCTCACGTGGATGACATAGACTTGTTCCCCGGAGGATTAGCGGAAACACCTCTCATGGGTGGTGTCATTGGGCCTACGTTTGCTTGCATCATTGGGCATCAGTTCAGACTTCTTCGACGATGTGACCGATTCTGGTCAGTACCTTGAGAGATGTCGATTACACTAAGATGGTTCTGGGTTATGATACCATGTAATCTTGTAGATGGTTATAAACATTTTGGAGGGACTAACCGCTATCCTGAGCCACGTGAATCCAGTCCATACTGCCCCACCCTACTTCTATAAGATAAATAATCCGTGGCGTAACAGCCCTCTGAGAGCCAAGGCCGACTAGCTGGCGTTCACATGCCTAAGCAGGAGTGAAGGATCATCCAACCAGATATAGGGTGACGTGTGGTCAGCACGACGAACCCCCAGCCATTTCTAGTTTTCATAACCGGATTACGCTACTCATTGTAGCTCCCCAATTTCCTCACGATGCTGGGTTGGCACCGATAACATACACCAGTCGAAAATCTCATGAGAAATTTCTTTCCCTGAGACTTGAGCCAGCGCGCATTCCGTGTCGCCAGTCCGAAGGATGCTGCCTCAGACCGCGCGGCTACAGCACGGGACACTTCTATAAGATATATGTTAATATTATATGTCCATGTCCCACGAGTGGTCTCTTTCCTTCATGCTTTTGAACCAAAACTTTCTATTGAAATATTCTAATTCTTATGTAAATCTATGTTTTTAAATATTTATATTTTATTATTTGAGTCATCTCTATAATTGTTAGATCTTGTAGTCTATTATTTCCTCTTGTGTTTTGCAATGTGTATTCACATTCTGACATTACTCTGTTTGCCTCTGTAAATCTCGTTTATCAACATCGTCCAGTTATTTTGTTGTTGCAGTGTGCACACTCCAAGAATAGCTGAATGTAGCCAAATATTAACTATGTTGATTAATCAAAGAGTATGAGATGAGAAATACATACAAAATTTTAGTCAGAAAATTTGAAGGGAAGAGGTCAATTGAAATGTCTGGGTGTAGTTAGGGATAATGTTAAAGTGAACCTTAAATAAATAAGGTGTGAGGGTGTGTACTGAATTCATGCAGCTCAGTTTTGGTACCAGTTGTGGGCTCTTCTGTACATAATAATGAATCATCAGATTCCATAAAAGATGAATTTCTGGACCACTGGAACAGTTGTCTGGTTGTCACGAAAGACTTTGATCCATTGAATGAATATGTTGAAATTTGCAGTGTTGTATCTTTACAGGTATGAAAATGATGACCCACTAGTGCGATTTACAGAAGCGCAACTGGCAGAAATTCGTAAAGTGACATTATCCCGACTTGTGTGTGACAACTGTGACCATGTCAGCAAAGTACAACGCTCACTTCTGGACCTCTCAGACCCCTTCTTGTAAGTGCGAAAGCTTACAGTGGCTTGAGACCAAACGTTTAAATGTTATAACTTCTAACGAGCTTGACGTGCTTTGTGTATCAGGAACCCAAGGGTACCGTGCAACAACATCCCTTCCCTGGACTTGGAGCTGTGGAAAGAACGTCTGTCCTGCACAGTGGGACGCACGACAATTGACGTGGGGTCAGCCGAGCGGATATCACCTTGTGTAATGTGCACGTGCACAACTGAAGGGGTGAGTGTGAATTAAGGAAATACCTTCAAATATGCCACTACTGCTTCCTCTGCAATCATCTTCAATTAACTGCTAGCTCATCAAACATCTTGTTATAGCTGTAACACACCTGACTTGTAATCCAGGGGTACTTGGTTCAAACATCAGTCAAGCTACCAACTGTCTTGACTTTTGTCAATTAGGTGCATTGTTGGTTAGTTAAGTACATATATTGATTAAAGTGCCTCCACATTGCTTTCTCTTTCAGCCAATTTGCCAGTCGCTGAAGATCGGAAACTGTTTCAATCTGGCGAGGTTGTTCAGCCATGCAGAAGTGCTTGGCGACCATGTTTGCAAGGTGCAGTGTGCATTTGTCTTCCGTGCCCTACCCAGAGTGGTGGATCCTGTGGACAACCAGCTGGGCTTCAGCTAATGATCTACGTCGCAGATCTCATTTTATCTGAATGTTTGTGTTTGTCACATTAAGTAAATTCTGACCTTCCTTTCACAATTTTACATCTCTTTCATCTTATTTTGGATGAGGGGGTAATAGTGACTGAAATAAAACCAACTAAGCTCTAATTTTATAGCAGAAGGAGAGCTAATGGTTATAATTCTACAGGAGAACACAGCAACATAATTTAAGCACACATTAGTAAATTGACAATATTAAGAACTGATTAAAAATACAAATATAATGTTTGTCAAAGAATCTTACCAGTCTTTTCAAGAGAATCTGTCCCTTTGTACATGAAATTTATTTGTACTGTTTTCCTTAATACAAAGTTGTAATTTTATAAATATTTTTTAAACCTTCAAATTCTGTCACTTGTGGAGTGAAACAAAAATATACAGTAGTTATAATTTACTATTAAAATACTCAGTTTAGGGAACAAAATATAATTATAACTAATGTCACAACATTCAGAAGTTGCAAATTATGTTGTGCAATAAATCGTACAGTGGTGGTTATGCACAATTTCTTTTTAAGCATAGACAACAGGCTAAGTTGTGATGCTATTATCATTGCTTGCATCACTACAGACATTCTCATATGCAGCTTTAAGCTGATAAACATCCCTGATATGTATATTTGTCATAATAAATTTGTCCAAGTTTCTAGTGCAATGAAAATGTATTAGTTACTATACATATTTGAACTGATCTAATCTTTTTCAACATGAATAAGGACAGCAAACCTGAGGGCAAATAGAGTGCATATTAGCACAGTAATCAAACAAGAAAGCCTCATCTTCCTAATGGAAGTGTACTGGCTGATGCAGCCTTAATCATATTAAAGCTCATCTGAATTCAAGTTGACTTAAAATAAGCCAACTTGATAATTATATTTGATTAGTGTCAATGTGGTGTATGATTACCAGTTAAGCTTCATGTGTTCTCATTTCCACCCAGAACAGAATTTCACCATTAATTTACCTATGAAATGTCTTCTTCCCTAAGTATGAATATGTGTACAGTACATTAAGAACAACAATCATATTGATGATTCCTTTGTTGGATGTGTGACACACCAGGTAGGTTTATTTAATACTGATATTTTAGACTTTTGTTTGGGATATACCTAGTTTGAACCTTGGCCAGGTTACTGGCTTTTTCTAACAGCAGGTGAATGAAATTTGGTGAGTTAGTTCCAAAGTAAATTTATAACCCACATTTTTGTTGCGTGCCTTCTACACTGAATCAAGTTACATAGGGAAGGCTTAGTGTAATGTGCTGTCTTGAAATTTATCCCATATCTTTTGGTGACTTCTTCTCAGTGATAAAACAACTAAACCTTGATGACCACCAACACCATTTACCCTATCCCTCAATGTCTGGTAGAAGTTTACCGACGTTACAGAGGTCCTTGCTGCCTCCTTCGTCGGTAAACTTCTAACATATTACACGGCTGACCGCACAAGACAGCCGTCTACGTTGAGGAAGTTGGATAATTAACGTTGTTACTGACTGAGCTCTTGACACTGGATGATGGTGTGAAGTAATACCGATTCCTACCGCCAGATCGTTTTGTAATAGTTTGCGTATGACCAATGGTAGATTTATAGTATGGACCTTTTACATCAGTGAATGCTTTCCACACAGAAAACAATAGATTTCCAGGGCTCTGTTACTGAAATAGGGTGGGTGTGAGGGTAAGATAATATGCGTTCACAAAATTTTTATTCCAGGAAGTAGTGTAACTTCAACGAAGTTCTTCGAAACACTGAAAGATGTCGCCACTTGCCAAGACTTTGCTCATCGGAACCAATCACAATGGAACAGCCTGTGATTTGGTATTAATGTCCACTGTGTTTCTAATGGACTTATCAGTATTCATTTGTGATTATCACCGTTTTTACAGATCGATAATAATTAGTAAGGCGTAAAACGAAGTTACTTGTGTAGTACATAATGTCCGAAGTAATTTGCGTTTAGAAGTAGGACGTACGTGATTTTCAGTGTAATTTGGTTATTTTAGTGCATAGTTTCCTGGTGCTGGAGGACGAAGATGAATAACAGGCAAGTACCAAAAAAGAGTTTCAGTTTGTTAATCGTGTAGAAATCTTTTTTTTTTTTTTGTACAGAATTGCAAGTATTGCAATGGTTAAATAATAGTTATTCACCAGTTTGCTGTGAATCATACAACAACTGATCGACTGTAAATGTACCCTTGTGTTGCATTTGATAGTTAAGAATAGGAGCTACTGGTACTTACTTCATGGATCCGAGTCCTACCTGAGAAGCCAACAGTCTCTCAGCCATTCAAGAAATTCCCAATATTTTATGGAACCCAAAGGTTCATTACTATGTTCACAAGAGCCTGCCACTGGTCTCTATCCTGAGCCAGATGGATACAGTCCAGACCACTCCATCCTATTTTACTAAGATCCATCATAATAACTTGTTACAAAATGTTACACAGGGCCTCAGACCAGGGTGGATTGTTTAATGACCTAAGCAAATGAAATGAGATTTGGAGACTTGGATGTAGGTTGAAGCTGCTGATAGTATTTATAATTAATTATTTTCAGCTGGTTTCGTCTTGTTTATTTAATGAGAAGTCTGTTTATAATTGAGTGAGATTTCAGGTTCTCATGAAGGCGATGATGGAGGCAGCACCTCATAAATGTTGGTAAACTTCTACCAGATTACATGGTGCAAGAACCCAGATGACAGCCATCTTTATGCATTTACAAAAGATTGAATGCAGTATTTATTCTGATATACCATGTTTATTTTACATAATTGTGCTGTATTTATTTGTAGAAAAGCTCGGAACCCAGAATTGGAAGCTATGAGGAAAACAGCAAAGGAAAAGGCAGTAGAAAGTTTACCAAATTTGGAACACCGTATTGCTGAACTGCAGACAAAAACATCAAGGCTTCATTCAGCCTTTCTCTTTGATGATTCACATGGATTGATGACACTTCAGATGTTGTGCCGTTGTCTGAGTTCTACCAGGAACTCGTTGAATTTTGCTGGATGGGAGGAATTTGGCATTCATCTTGGATTAAATCCTTTAGTGATAGAGGTAATGAATTTGTGTGTATGTTTTTATGTTTGTCTTGAATCTTTTTTCTGTTGTTTTCATTATTAGCTTTTTTACGTTTATAAATGTGGGTATATTTTTCAGTGTATAAAGCATAGTTTCACTTCGCAAGATCCGACTTACTACATCTTACTGGCATTTGTGCAACATGAAGATGCCACATTAAATAAGGTTGTTGATGCATTGAAGGAAATGGGAAGACTCGATGTTATTAACAGGACAATTAATCTTATGTCAGGTATTGTAAATTTGTATATACTAATTCCTGCATGTAAGTAATTGATGTGTATTACATATACATAATGGTGGCCATATATTTCCACCTCTGTAGTATACATGCATGTACTGTTTTGTTTACAGCATAATTAGTTTGAAAATGTTCTTGGTTATTTTTAATGAAGTTTATAAATGAGAATGTATATTCACAAAAGTTATGATCTCTGGTCTCTTAATTAGACAACTAAATAAATTTATAGGTTGGACATTAACCAATAATCTAATAGTTTTCATTTGTAAAGTGAATATTTCTTTGCTGTTAGATGAACATAAAAAAATTCCATAATTTATTATGCTGTAAAAATATGCAAAATAAACTGATTTGAGTATGTCAGTGTTCATGATAAAGAACATTTAACTGTATAACATGCTCCACTTAACTTGGTTAACAGTTCATCAATATGATTTGTTCAGATTATTATAAATTAAACTTAAATATAAATAATCTAACCTGTTGACTGACTGGATTTTCTGGAGAAATATAAATGTATGTGCAAATAAAAGAAAACTACTAGTGCTACAAGGACCTGTCAATAAATTAAAAGTATTGTGTGATTTAAAAAGGCATAAGCAGCTGGATACCATTAAGAATTGATTAAATGACGAAGACAAATCTTTGAATACAGCCTAGTAATGAAGGTGACTGTTACGTGTTACATGTCAGTCTTTGGTATTGAGGTTGAACTAGAGACATACTTTATAGTTTAATAAGGTCTCTTATATCAGAGTTAGTTGGTATAAAGAGGTGGGATAGAGATTCAGCTAAGAAAAATATAAATTGTTGACTTGAATTGCCTGAAATAATTTATTGCTGTGTTTTTCAGATGTTGGTTATGTTTGAATTGTTTATTTATGACAGCCAAATTTTTTATTTACTTTTATTGAAGGTTTGGCAGATGATGTCATGGGAAGTCATACAAACAATGAAGAAAGTGGTTATTTTTCTATATCTGATGGTAAGCATTACATTTGAATATTGTAAAAATTTGGCAAGTTATGTATTTTTTCATTAGAAGGGGTTATAATGGATTTTAGAGAAATAGATTTTGAAAATGTGAACTTGCTGAACTTGGCTGAGTATAGATGTAAAGTCAGGATTTTGTGAATCCAGTGAGGACTTTTTGGTCCATAAAATAAATGTCTTGTCCAGCTGAGTATTATGAATTACTCAATGAGGGCTCTGCACCATGAGTTTAATATTTATTCCTTAAATATTATTTTTGAAAATATTGTTGCATCATACAGTTCACAAGTTGAAAAATACAGCAATTAAAGTATCTTGGAAGAGAGAGTTATTGATGCTTTATTTGTTAAAACACATCAGCTGTTTCTTAATTAGATTTGTAATGTAGCAGACTCAAATTTCACTACTTGTTTAGGACCTATACTTGGTGTTGTTCTTAGCTGCAGCATATCACCCTATATAAATTCTATATCTTGATAAACTCAGCATTCTTCTGTTGTCCGCAGGTCATTCAGACAGTTTGAGCGATACAGAAGTTAGCAACAGGAGCAGCATCATCCGACCTCTTAGCATTCCATCTGCTCCCTTCATATTTCGAGAGATTGTTTCCCAGCGTTTTATATCTCAGCCACATACAGCAATTCAGACTGGAAATTTTGAAGAGGAAAACTACCAAACTGCAGTTGCCATTAGATCCAGACCAACGGTTTGTTTAATACACACATGATTTTAACATTAATGATGATTAATGGATAGTGTGCAATCCTCGCCAAGTTTATGCTTTTAATTTTAGTTTTGATTACAGTAGCGGTGTTTAGGCACAAAATCTTGTCTATAACACACTGTCAAGACATCTCTCGCCCTAGCATGTTTATCATCCCAATTAAATTTTAGTGTCATATTGCCACAGTTCCCTGGCATTCTTTTAAGATTCTGCCTGACATTTCCACAAAAGTTATATCTGTTGTGTGTCATTACTCTTTTTTGACAGGTGCAGTATGCCTGTAAAGTCCTGTTAACATTTGCTTCTGATGGCTTGGACACAGCACAGCAAATTGCGAGAGAATTTCGTAAGAAGAGGGAAAACTTGCTTCACATTGGAGTAGTAATTTTGAATGAGCATTCAGATCTTGTGAATAATAACCCTGAACAGTTCATTTCAGCTTGCTTTCATCAGGTAAAATCTGGGTCTCAAATATTTTTTAAAGTAATAGCTTTTAACATAACTGAATGTTATGACAGAAAACAGTTTCTTTTTCACTTTATTTCTCTCTCTTATTTGCATGCTTACAGACATCATTCTTGATGCTGATCAGACTTTCTTTATGGTTTGGGTTTTCTTGACAAAGGGCCCTTGAGTTCCGTGGATTTCAGTGTAATCGGCTAAAAGTAACTTTCTCTTATAATTGTAAATCAAAGTGAAATCAGCACCATTGGATTTTTTATCCCTTTTTTAAAGACTTATTTTCTTTGCTGTTCAATCTAGTATTGTCGAGTTCACAGCACCAAAGCATATTTTCTTAAGACCCACTTTAATATTGTTGTTTTGTGCCACTGCATGGTCTATCAGCTAGGTTATGGGCCATTCATGGGGTAGAATAACAACAAAATGCAGCACAAAATGAACAAAGTAGAAGGTCATTGGACAGTAACAAATCTTTTACAGAACTTAACATAGGTACAGAATATAAAATAAGTAAACTAACAACTATTAACATCATCATCAGTGGCAGCCTCTGCGTCCAGACCGGCTCTGGGGTCCACCCAGCCTCCTCTACAATGGGTACCGGGGTCCTTTCCCGGGGGTAAAGCCGGCCGGGGCGTGATGCTGACCACTCACCCCCATCTAGTGCCGAGGTCAAGGAAGAGAGGAGCTATACCTCCACTCACCCCAAATGCCTACATAGCGTATAGTGGGACAAACTTTACTTTTTAATACACTACACAGTATGCAAAGTTTTGAGAGTAGGTACAGAATGCAATAATGAAAATGAAAACCAAAGGTGTGTCCAGACCAGCATATATTTAAACTCTCAGTAGACCAGCATGTCATCCATTACAGTATGACCAAAATCCCACATGGGCAACTTATACCAGACTTGCCCACCGCAAGAAGTGCTGGCACTTGCGCAAAGGACTGATTTTGGTCGTATGAGATGGACCCGTCCGAAGCACGCGCTAGAGAGATGTCAGCTTCAGTTCGTTTGTAGCTCTAGCTGTGTTTAGATCGGTGCGTCACTGCAAATGGAGCTATGTGACCCCCCACTACTATTGAACTCCCCTCTCTTGGCTTACACATTGCACATTTAGGTGCCACGACCTCTATCTGGGGAGGAAGAAACCCAGGCTGAGAATATTTTGGCATAACACTCCAGGGAAGGAGATAGTTGGGGAAAGGTTAAGGGGTAGCATCTGTGCACACAGGGCTCTTCCAGATAGTAGCCCGTAACCACTGATTACAGTCTGGTGGACCTCAGGCACGATTCCATCTCCAACATGGTCCTCCATGTGGCTGATTTCCAGTATACTGCAGAATTATGTATGCATTACTTGCTTATCTAATCCAAGTTTCATGCGCAGTCCATGACAATTGTAGGAGAAGGGTATGAATCACATTGTTCCTTGTTATGTAATTTTCTGTATTCTGCTCTTTGTATCTGTAACACTTGAATATTTTTCCTGGCTCTTGGTTTTTTAGTTCATACATCAGTTTTATTGTCAACGATATTGCAAATATAAACCATAACTTGAATGTACCTACATTGTTCCCTGTGTTTGATGTTGAATTGTATTGTTTAGGTGGACTATGTCGTTCCAATCATCACAGAGAACTACCTTAAAGCCATTGCTACCAGAGATAATAGGATAGATAGTTCAATGCTGTGCATGGACCCCAAATACGTCAAATACATCTACACCTTGATGAGCACATATTATTTGAGAAATGGATGCATCAATGATAAGATAAGGTGTGTTGTGCCAGACAGTTCGGTGCATTTAACACAAAACCATCCTGTCATGATTAGACCACTATTTCAGGTTTGGGTACGTGCAAGTGAGGTGGAACAGTTGAGTTGTCGATTGCTTCAATATAGATTTTGAGAATAGCATGAGGCAGTGAGCATTGAAGTACTGGTGTGTAAAGTAATATGCTTATAAGTTGTTCTTGTTTTGCTTAGTATGATTTGTACAGTGTGCTTTTGGTAAAAATGTACATAGGGATTTTATTTTGTTTTATATTTTCACTCCACACCTGAAGTGTTGGAAATAAGTTGCTTCAAAAGCATAATTAGAATTATAGTGGAAATTAAAAATTTCAGCTTGAGTAGTATCATAATATTATTTTGTCACCCTCAGAAGGGACCTTTGCAAAACTCCTTAAAATTGAGAAACGGAGTTTCTCATGCTGTTTAATAGCTAAGATCCTGACTGAAGTGTCGGAAAACCTTTAAACTCCCATTATCTTTCTTGAAGGTGCCAGTTTTTCTTGTTGATGACAGTCTTTTTAATTAAAATATGCCTATAATGGTGTATAATGTTTACGATTTTATTCCTAACTGCCATAGAAGAAGGGGTAATAAAAGTTTCAGAATCTTAGCTTTATGATTACAAGTAAACCCAAATATAAACCTCCTGAAGAAAACTTTATGGTCTCTTGGGGCAACAGCTCCCACTCTGGATAACACTGCTCTAGGTAATCCTCTTTGTTCATTAACTGCAATGCCTTTAGGAACACATGTAGTCTAAAGCCTCAAAGGCAAACATGAAAATAGAATAGTATTTTTAATAACACATTCTTTGCTGTGTAGGTAATTGTGTTAGAAGGAAAGAAGTTGAGAATAGGGTCATTCCATGTCAAATCATCTAATGGATGTTACATTACTGTTGCAAAATTTAATTATACTTGTCAGTCTTTATGTGTGACTCATTACAAAGTAGTACACAAATACTGAACTTCTCTGATATCACCATTTCCCAGGTAATCAGTTTTCAAGAAGTTAGGCAAAATAAAAACATTATGTATGCTGTTTTGTGAAGTTAATACTGCCATAACTCTGGAAACTTTGATTAGATTCACATCATTTCACACTGAAATTGTACATCTATTAAAATACTTTTAGCACATGTGTACTTGATTGTGGTTGCTAGCCAATATGAGTATATTTTAGTTTAAATTTACCAAAAAATTTCATAATTTTCTTAATGTATAACTTAGGCTTTTGTGTTAGTGCCAGGTCAGATATTTGGTGTTAACTGATGTTTCAACAAACATTGCAGTTGCCATTTTCAGGTTGGGTATGAGGTGGGGTAATTTCAGAAGGCCTGTAGAGTGGGCAGTGGGTGTGAGATAAATTCAGTGTTGCTGATTAGTGGAGGAGCTAGCTGCTGTTCAGTGGTAGAGATGCATGTGGTTGAAGAAAGGTAGTGACTAGGAGGTTCTGGTGACCACGTCGGAAAGGAGTGGTAGCTGCTGTGGTTTTCAACTCAAAGCCAAATTTATACGTTGAACTCCTGCCGCTAAAACTTAACTTACCTACTCCATAGAGCTGAGTTCTTCCTGAGAAGCCAACAGTCACTTGGCCACTCAAGAAATTCCCAACGTTATATGGAACCCAAATGTCATTACCATGTTCACAAGAACCTGCCTCTGGTCCCTATCCTGAGACAGTTGAATCCAGTCCATATCACCCCATCCTATTTTTCCCTCTGGTTTGCCCACTAAAACCGTTTCCGTAGGTTTCGATAGTGGGAGGAAAACCAGAAGGGATGAGACAAATTACAAGACCAAAGTATAGATGGAAGGATGATAATGAAATGGAGGTAGGTATTTAGACAGGTGAAGGGTAGGTGCCGGTAAATACGATAATGAACTTTCGGGTTCTATAAATGGCGGGGAATTTCGTGACTAACCAAGTACTTCTCATCGACGCTATATAGTTTGAGTTACTGAAAGTATCGTCAAATAAACTAAATAAAATTCATGAAGCCATGTGTGCACAGTCAAATCTGAATGTTTTGCACTTCTTTAAATAATAATAATGAAGGAACTATGGTACAAATTAAACTCGACAGAAGTAATGACAAACTGAGACTACATGATCAAAATGCGTCAAACATGAATGGCAATGTATGGCTTTCGCCATACACTCTGTGCGCCAAAATGAAAATTATATGCAATCTATACATCAATGTGCATTAAAGGTTTCAAGAGTTCTACAAAGATTGATTTGTTCTGTTGAAAATGATAATTTTCATAACTCATTCGACTATCGATTATTTACAATAACGATAAATCGTATAAATTTCTCGCCCTCTAGTGGCTAAATGTTGGCATTAGGAGCTCATGACTCAACATTTGGTACTGAATGGAGATTTGCATTAGAATGTTGTGAAGTACAGACCATTTTTTATTTTATAGGTGCTCATTATGTTCAGTGTTCGTTGAATTTCTGCGTAGTATGCTGTTTAAATTTTATTCTGTTACATTATTTTGTTTAATTAAGTGACGTTTGACGTTGAAATCATTGTGCAGAAAATTTGTCACCAAATGCTTTGCTGATTAATTTTCTAAGACATAAACCTGAATTCAAAAATGTGTGGTTAAGACAGTCATTAAATGATGGTATAACGACACTTTGTATTCGTAGTAATAGGAAGAACTGCATACCACATGAAACGGTAGATTAATTTCTGACATATTGCTGGCAAGACGATGCCTTGTATGCAGCTTACCCCATGGAACTGCCACTGAAGAGACAGAGGACTGTATTAAGGACGAAGATGTCCAATGCTGGTTCTGCCATTATGAAGTCAATTGACAGTCCTTCACTACTTGGGCATAGTAGACTGGTACAAGATCCTTATTCAGAGAATAAATCTATGGGTAATTTGCCCCCAGATGTGACACTGACATCAGAATTCACATCTTTGAAACTTGGTACAAGATATGAAGAGCATAATGGAGGCAGTTTTTTGTTGCTGGATGGTAAAGAAAATCTGAAGGTATTTTATTATTGAGTGGCCTTTGATGATCATTGTTTCTCATTTGTAATATTCATTGTTTAATACAGATATTAAAAAAGTCTTTATAATTAAAAGTAGGCTGAAGTAAGATTAATGAAAGTAGGATACATGGAAACACCAGCTTCCAAACCTGAAGAATTGGTACATGTGTCATGAAATGAGGGTTATTTAATAGAGTCTGAAATCTCTGGTTACTGTAAACATAACCAGTTTGTGACACACTCTAGAAAGTAGTTCTACAGCTTTCTTCTTGGTGCTGCAAATACTCTGTGGTTTGTCATACATTTTAAAATTTTGTCTGTAAGAACATTTTGCTTTGTATGATTTTACAGCAGTTGTTGAAAGATGTTTCCTGCAATATTCTAACACATTTTCCAGTGATTCAACACTGACACCAGCGGGAGCTTTTTAATTGCTATAATAACATAAGCTTCTACTTGGTGTTGAGGGACTTCCTTGTCACCAGTCACCACACTCTGGTACATTTTCAAGTTGTGGTTGGAGGAGAAGGCCTCCAGATATGCAGGGTAACTGCAAAAATATTGACTGAGGAGTTAAAAACAGCAAACAAGGAGTGGTCCTTTAGCTTGGGGATTGGACAACTTCTCACCTTAAAAAACCAGCGTATTATGAAATTTTGTAAAACACAGATTGAAGGATGTTTGAGAACTAGATACTGAGGAGAATGTATGTACCTAAATAGGATGATGTTACAGGAGGCTGGAGAATATTGTATAATGTGGAGCATTATAATTTGTGCTCTTCGCCATATATTATTAGAGTGGTCAAATCAAGGCTTTAGTAAGAATATATCCTTCAAAGTAAACAATGGCAAGCTGTGCCATAATGTAGGTATGACCACCTCTTATCCTTTAATTTATTTTATATGACCTCTTAAGGTGTTGTAATACTTTTAAGTGACATGATTTCTATGTGTATCTTTTAATTTTCACAGGTGTCATCAGCTGAACAGTTTCTGGGTCGATTGAATTGTGATAACTCAACACGTGTAAAAGTTGTGTCAGTGTTTGGTAATACAGGTGATGGGAAGTCTCATACACTGAACCAAACGTTTTTTGAAGGGGGCGAAGTGTTTTCCACATCATCTGAGCAAGATTCATGCACTCTCGGTGTGTGGGTCGCATATGATCCTCATATGAAAGTCATTTGTTTGGATACAGAGGGTCTTCTGGGATCCACAAGCCATGAGAATCAGCGAACAAGACTACTGCTTAAGGTGATCTAATATTAATACAGCATTAGTAAATATTTATAATATTTTATCTTAATAAGCTATTATAGAACACTTGCTGTTTAATATATATGTCTTGTTAACTGCCAAACTAATTGGAATGAGGCATTTTCACGTTTTTAGTTTCATTAAGTCTAGTAAAATCTGTTCCCCAATACATTGTCCACATTATTACATTTTAAAGAGTGTATATATTTCCCAGCACAAAGATGCGGGTTAATTGTTTTGTTTAACCCTTCGACTGCAGAATATTTCTTAGGTCAGTGACTTTTATATTGGAAGAAACATACAAAACTTTCAAATATTTGTGAAAAAGATGACAGTGTAGATACAGTTTGTCACTAGCCTTTTAGGTTTTATCAGAAAAATTAAAAAATAATCACATTGTTTACAGATTGGGATAACCAGAGTGAAGTGATGCACAAAAGTCTATACTAGGATATCAGGGTGTAGTAGCAGTCACAGGGTTATAAATTGAATATTAG